AAAAAAAAACCAATGATGGAAGAATTATTTTATATGTGATACGAATCAATTCTGAAATAGTTTCCTATAGACTGAGACTGGACCCACTTCAAATTTACTGAGACTACCATAACTAAGATCGTTGAAAACAGCGTTATTGAGGCCTAGACCTAAAAAGTTTGGCTCTGCATATCTCTAGTCGACACTGTGTACATAAGGTAGATACTAAAGATGTGATTGGTTCGATTGGCATTTTTAAGCAACTAACGAGGGAATCACCTCAAATGGTATGTGCCGTTTCAGCTCACAAGGAGATCTCGGCAAGACTTGATAAAATCGCTAAAAGAATTTCTCCTCATGGGCCTTTCAAGCCATGTTATGATCATTTGACTGAATTTTCGATTGATTTTTAGACAGTTACTAAACATCAGATAACAGAACTTCGACTCGAAATTTTATCCATAAATAGAACTAATGTCTTTTTCAGTAGCCTGAAAATTTTATTTGAAAAGAATGTTGTATCTGGAGATATTGAATTTAATAAGCAATCGTTTGCCGTACACATATCACAAAAATCGAGTTTACTTGAAAATTCACTATCTCGATAAAGGAACATTTTTTCGATAGAAATTTTCAGAATATTGTTAAACTCATTAGATCTATTTATCGACAAAACTTCAGGCCGAAACTTTATTCTTTGATTTTTCGTCGAATAACTAAAACTAACCTAAAAATTCAGTAATACGACCATAACTCGCTTCGAAAGGTTCATTGGAATTGATTCTTGTCTCATTTTTAGTCTTACTAAGATCTCGTCGTGGGCTCAATACGAACGTAAACGGTGAATGTTAACTCTCGTAAGTCGGTTCAGATCGGTTTCAAAGAACCATGAACCGATCTCATCTCTCGTAGATAAGAATGAGCTATCAATATGCTACAAAGAATTCGGATTCTTAGCTTATTGCTGCTAAAACACTGCATTTTACGGTAGGTTTTTAACTCAGTCTCCTGATTTCCCTCAGGAATATCGACGAAAATTCATGTTTGAATTTCCACTATAAATTGTGGGGTGTGGGTGTGAGATGTGGATGTTTGTGGAAAGAAGACTCGCACCCACATCACACACACCCACACCCATCTTGAGTTAGAAATAAAGATATCTCATAGAGAGCTCTGACTGCTTCTGCTTCATGAATTCCGCTTGGGTCGCAAAGCAACGGAAGCAACAAGCAACATATGCAGCACGATAGACAAGAATGCATTCTCCATCCGTACAGTGCAACATTGGTTCAATCAGTTCAAGAATGGGAACTTCGAACTCGACGATTTACCTCATTCCGGAAGACCACTAGAGGTGGATATGGATGTCTTAAAGCAGCTTGTCGAAGAACATCTAAGATTGACTACACGGTGTTTAGCAGAGCGACTTGGTGCTCTCATACTACAGTGGAAAGACATCTGGGCGAATTAAGCAAAACGTAGAAATATGGAGTTTGGATACTACATGAATTGTCACCACATCAGCTTCAACACAGGGTTGATGCTTGTATGGAATTAATGACATCTCATCGCAACTACCAATGACTCCACAATCTTATTACTGGCGATGAAAAGTGGGTGATGCATGTTAACCACACACGCAAGCGACAGTGGCTGGGAGCTGGACAAAGAGGTGTACCAACGCCCAAAAATGACCTTCACTCAAAGAAGATGATGCTGAGCGTTTGGTGGGGATTAAAAGGAATTATTCATTGGGAACTTCTTCCAACTGGTTGCAACATCACTGCTGATCTCTACTGGCAACAATTGGACCGAGTTGCAGTAAAACTCAAGGGGAAGCAGGATAGAATTTATTTTTTGCATGACAACGCCAGAGCTCACATCGCAAAGTCAACGCGTGAAAAATTATTGGAGTTCGGATGGGTTACGGTTCCACATCCGCCTTATTCTCCAGACTTGGCTCCAACGGATTACCATTTGTACCGTTCTCTGTCTAACTATCTGCGCGAGAAAAAATTCGACGACGAGAACGATCTCAAAATGGACCTCGTCAACTTCTTCGGCCAAAACTTCTAGGACTTCTACGAATGCGGAATCCTTTCTCTACCAGAGCGTTGGCGACAAGTCATAGATGGTAATGGAGCATATATTGTTGAAAGGGAGTCGTAATCTTGAAGTTAAAAAATAAAAATAAAATTTAAAAAAAAACGCAAAAAATTTCGTGCCAATTCAATAGTTCAAATACTACAAACACCATCTGAGGTGCTCCGACCATCATCACAAACCAAAATCTGAAAGACATTAAGCTACCTGTTCGTATCGCCCAGCCAACTCATAATTAGCATTATCAAGTATACTTCTAAAATTAGAATTTAGCACATTCTTTGGCATTAAATATAGTGCTAACCTCATGAGGACTGAACCATATCCCCATATCAAAGAGAAATTGTTCCACTTCGAGTAGAAATGCGTCAACCACATAAATTTACAACGAAATGCTTTTTTACAAACAAACTACCTTCATTCCACAACATCTCTACAAGAGAAAACGAACAATAACAAAGAGAACTACTCCATCTATCTTTTCAATTCACAACCAGAAGTCGAAAAGACTTAGAAAGAAATGGATCATTTTACTTTTTTCATCTTAAGAGATGTTCCTAGTAGAAATAGATTTTTTCTATTAGAAATGGTTATTTTGTAATGAGAAATGCTTTATCCACATCCCCATTTACGAGTGGTAGTCGAAAAGATTTAGGGGGAGAAATGGATCATTTTACTTTTTTCATTTTAAGGCATGTTTCTAGTAGAAATGGATTTTTTTATTAGAAATGCTTGTTTTTTCAGGAGAAGTGCTTCCTCCATATCTCCATTTACAAGCAGAAGTCGGAAGAACTTAGAGAGAAATGGATCATTTTACATTTTTCATCTTAAGGCATGTTTCTCGTAGAAATGGATTTTTTTCTATTAGAAATGGTTATTTTTTAATGGGAAATGCATCGTTCATATCGCCATTTACGAGCGGAACTCAAACATGTTGTGAGAGAAATGGATCATTTTACTTTTTTCATCTTAGGGCATGTTTCTAGTAGAAATGGATTTTTTCAATTAGAAATACTTTTTTTTTAAGCAGAAGTACTTTATCTATATCTCCATTTAGAAGGAGAAGTTTTAAAGACTTGAAGAGACAGGTTTAATTTAATTTTTTAACTTAAAGGCTACTCCTAGGAAATATGAATTTTTCCTTTTAGAAATGGTTATATGAGAGGGAGCAGTGCTGGATCATGTCTCCAATCACAAGAAGTCTGAAAGACTTAGAGTGTGTCTTAAGACGATCTTGTAGTAGATATCGGCTTTTTACTAGCAGAAATGATTAAAATATTTCTGCAGAGTGCTTCATCCATTTTTCTACTACTAAGAAGAAATGAAAAATATTCAGAAAGATGAAAGAAATTTTTTTTTATCTTAAGAACATCTTCTAGCAGATATAGACGAGATTCTTTTTAATGAGCATCTGGTGAAAGTACATTTCGCAGAGTAGAAAAATAATTAATCATCATGAATCGGAATATTTGTGATTGGTGCAGATTCCTAGTGTTTGAAATTCAAGCATATGTACAATGTTATATAATAGATTATATGAATATATTTTTTTTTATCCTTTCTTTCTATTTCTCCTTGTTGAACCATTTTCCTTTGGAAGAAAAACCATTTCTCTCTAAATTCAAGTATATGTGCAATATTATATAATAGATTATATGTATATATATTTTTGTTTATTCTTTCTTTCCTTTTCTCCTTGATATGTATGACTTTATGTGGGGTGAAGCATTTCCCCATAAAGTGGAACAACTTTCCCTATCGACTGGTCCAATGGTCCACTGCTTAACCTCATAGCAATAGATTCGCATCAATTAACTCTTATTCGCATAATGCTGAAGCAATAATGTTAATCATTACTAGTGATATCAAAGCAAAAGCTATTTCTCAATACTAATACTAATCTGATAGGGGATGTTGTGATCACTGTATACACAAACACGAGCACGGATTGGGGTTCTTCGCGTGACGTTTCGAGTCCCGACGCCGCAACGACAATATGAAAGGTTAGTTAGAGTACATCAATTACTAAACTTCTATGATTCACTGTACAAAATCTGATGCAAAAAACATTTGATTTCTACGGTTCTGCGCAGGGTTGTCAAAGTCACTTTCAAATTATAATTTATAACTTAGAAAAGTATTTTTCTGCTTGTCTGCTATAATGGAGCCGGGTATTTTCTTCGAAAATTTCAATTACACTCAAACTCGAATTAGGCAGCCTCTTGGAGGATGCAGCTGAGAAGAAAAACAAAACATCTTACTGCGTGGTCCAAAGTATGTTTGATGATGTTCTGTGTATCCTTCTTTGTCGTCACATGTTTTTTGCTGTCCACTGACAATTGCTATAAATATGACGAAAAACAAACAAAAGTATTCGATTCATAGAAAAAAAGTTATGGAAGGAAATATGAAATTAAGAGTGAAAATAAAAAATATCTCGCCGTGCTCTAGAATAATTCGTCGATGATATGATGCCGGTTCTTGCTTTTGCTATATACTGTTCGTTGATCATTGCTAAATTTTTTGTCTATGGTTGAGAATATCGTGAGAAGTATTTGGTTAGCATTATAGTTGAAGAAGAAAGCAGAAGCTGAGAGAAAAGCTAATAATTACGTTGATTGGATCTCTGCGCCTGTAGGTTCGTGACCGTATGTGTAGTAGTTGTTTCTAGTATTTGTAATCGAAATCAGTTATCGAAAGGAAATTTTCGTATTCTAACCTTGAGTTGTAGGACTTTTGAATCCTTTTTGATGTTCATATCGATAAGAATCTCGAGTGACTATTTAAAATGAAAAATTCAACATGAAATTAAATATTTAAATGCTGGGATGTGGGTATGTTTTCTGGTGTAGCGACGGAGAAACATAAGGATCAGCTGCCTTTTTATGATCTCATATAGTTGCACCCACAGTTTTGTCATTCGAAGATTTATTAGAATTAGAATAGTATGCATAACCGTGTTCGTAAAATTCATCCAGTTGTTTCTTCTATCGATTTTCTTTGCAAACACTAGAAAATGATTAACATAAGGAACGATCTATTAAGGATGGGAAGTCAAAAATCATTTTTTTTTAAAGTTCGAACAATGTGTATTTTTGTGTACATCAGGCAAAGATGTAACTGTCGGAATGAGAAATGATTGGATTTGTGACTGAAAGACATTTGTTTGAAAAACAAGTTTGATAGCACAGCCCCTTCGTGACTGAATGATGGAACAGACATATGCTCTCGAACCTCATTAAAGTAATAAAAAAACAAGTAAAGGAAAAATTTTCTCGTAGACTGTAGCTATTTTGCATGATAATCGATGTCTGGAGTGATATTGTTTCATTTTTTGTTAATTCATTTTTCTTAATTTAACATTGCTATTGTTATAATCCTTGAATTCAATAGTTACACAAATCTGTAGTACATATTTCATGATATCTATAACAGATCTTAGCGTACTATTATGTCTTAATCAGCTCGCAAACAATGATACTTATCGTATTTCAAGGTGATAACTTTATCAATGGTGCAAAATAACTCTAGAAAGTCTGATACTTGTTGTCCTTGATTGCTGAAGTCTGTAACGTAATCTCTCATGCCAATGGTTTGTAATAGGGACGGGGAGAGGAAAGCTACGAAACTTGAAGATAAACCTTATAATCAATATTTTCTTCGAAAATATATGTGTGTTCTAGAAAGCTTCTTGGAGAAAATTTTTCCTTAAAAATTCTTTTCCGCTATACAGGGTTGGGTGCCATTTCATCTACTGAGCCCGAACGTACTAATTACTTTGTCGATTAAATATTTTTTTTGAAACATGAAATATACCTAAAAACGTATGTATTTTTTGAAACTTACTGTGCAGTTCAGGAATGTTAGTGGTAAAAGACAATAGATATAAGAAGATTCTGGCAGAACTTGGGAAGCGGACTATTCATTTTTTTTTTATAGGACTAGTCTCTCGGACGGCACTGTCAAAGAAATTAGTGAGTGTAAGTTTTAAGTTGAAGTTTTCCGGCTACCTCCAATCCTTCCTCCCCATTATAGACACTCCTTCCGCTCCTTCCTTCATTGCAGACATTCCCCTTCCCATCGCAGACTCTAGTAACCGAAGAAAATAGGCGTCAGATTTCTTAATTTTTTTATTGCAAAACTGATTACATTGTAATTTTGACACATAGTAAAAAAACTCTTTATTCGAAATGCAAAATTTATAGAGGTGCTTCTTCTAAAGATCGTTTGTCCTATGAAACATCATAGTGCACAAGAGATTTTTCACTTTAAGTATTTTGTATTAGCTCAAGGAGGTTACAGAGCATATGTGAGTTCCACATTTCAACCCCAAAGGGACTACGCTAACAATCTTTTTTTTCAATCAAAAACTAAATTTACAAATCAAAGCATTGTAAAGAGTTCGACTTGGAAATTGAGAAAATGTACTTACTTAGTTTGCTGAACAGTTCAATTTTCTTAGTTAAATCTTGAAAAAGTACGATTTTCATTTTCAAGCAAATGTTCGCCTATTTGTACAATGTATCTATCCTCTTTGTCTTGCTCTGTGCAGCTTTGGTCGATCCGATTCCCTCATCGTGAATGTCCACTTTGAAAATCTTTCTTTTGAAAAATTACCAAAAAAACAAAACAAAACAAAAAGTTCTGTCTAGAAAATTCGTTTTTGTTTGATCTCAACCTTCGTTCTGTTATGTTTTGATGTCTCATCTTTCATTTTTCGCACGTTCTCCGTTGATGACCTTCGAACGATAAATCTGCTAATTACTTACTTATTCTTTCTGTTTTTCGTAAATCACAACAAGATGAAGGGCAAGACCGTATGAATATTCGTGGAATAATTGGTACTGATTCCGTAATACATGTAAACGTAGCATGAGCAGGTCGACATCGCTGATCTCGATAGGTTATCATTCCTAAGTTATTTCAATCTATTGAATAAATATGAATTAATTTATTTCATTTCTACCCATATTATCACAGTAACAACTTGAACCACAACGACACATCGGTTCATATGACACAGGTGTGAAACAACAGCATGAACCATACGAATAAGTTGGATGACAGATATCTGTTTGTTTTTAAATTTAATAATTACAAAACTATTTCAAAGAGCATTTCTTTTTCTTTGAAATATAAACATACCGAAATGATCTGGTCTGACTCTTCGACCAAACGCAAGAGTTCGAGGATGATGAGCAAATATGAAATCACTTTGAATACAAGGTGATGTTTCTTCAAAACAAGCTGATGTTTCAGGTTTACATGTTTGTGTTATAGCAGCAGCTAATGGTCGATCATAATGAGGTTGTGAATAATCACACCCAGACCTTTCCATTATAAACGTATTATTGTTGGAAATAAATCTATAAATTATAATCAGAATGATGAGAGATCGATGTGCTGTTTTTCATAGAGTATATTTGAACTTTTGATAGGGTAAATACACGAATCATACACTTCGAAAATCTCGTATCTCAAAATAAAAAAAGGCAATGTAATTCAAAACTGTCGAAAAAAGGCGCAAAGAAAAAGAAAGTGGATGAGAAAAAGAAAGAAAAAATACTCCGTTTTTTTCTTCTAGTGGTTCTCCTTGTAAGCAGATGTGTAAATATCCTTTTTTTCTCCTTTCACGGCTTGGCCTTGAATTAAAAATGCGGCGACAGGAATGCCAATAAAAAAATATTCAATAATAAAACAATAAGATTCGGTGTAAACGTTGCTGTGCGAGTGAATATGGGATGTGCGAATCTTGGCAGAGATTTGCAGTCTAAGTGTGCTTGTCACTTTCAGGTTTAGGTTTGAGTCTGTGTGTGGGCGTTGGGTAAGTGCGAGTCTTTGATGTATGTTTGCGTTTGCGTTTGACTTTGATCCTCATTTTGTTTGGCAGAACATGTACATGTACACCGCAAAGTAAACGCACATCATTGCTCTTGGTACACCTACCTACAAACGATCAACAGTGTGAATTCATAGAACTAAGAAATCTTCTATCAATTCCAAAAAGAGAAAAGATATTTGATTGATTGTTGTCTTCAGCGGAGCATCAAAGTTTGGTATTCGATATATATTGGTACGGCAATAAAAATTGTTAGACTTTCTATGTTTTTTCTGAATAATAATTTTGTACACTAGCGCAACTGCAAGTAAACAAATTGAGTAGGTTGAGTAGTTCTCCACAACCTTGAGTGAAAGAATAGGCATACAAAATAACAAATATTGACAAAGCGCAACTGTCATCATAGGGAGATCTTTTCGATTACTTTCTTATATAGAGTGCAAATAAAATAGTCCTTCAAAATCATTTTCTTCATTAATCTACTTGAATATGATAGAAAATTTGTCGAAATAGTTGAAAATTTTCATTTTCGCATCACCTTTATTTGTATGAGATTTGTTTGTCGAACAAGGTTTGAGTATGAGCATGTGTTTGACTTTGCTCTTTTTCTTTTGTGACAGAACCTGGACATTCACATCGTACAATAGACGCACATCATCGCTATATAGGCATACATACATACACAAAGACAGCATGTATTACTAGAAAGAAGAAATCTTCTATCTATTCAGAATACAGAAAAGACATCTCATTAGTTGTTATCTTCAATCGATCATTAAGGTTGCATAGTTCAATAAATATTGATACTGGAGCGAAATGAGCGATGTTCTCAATTCGCTTGTTGGTCACAAACATGTATAAAAAGTGGTCACATACTTGCTTAATGATTGCTAGTAGCGGTCTTGAGGGTATAGATGTTAAACAATAGCCTATACACCGTTAGAATTAAAAGCCATACAAACGCTGGAAGTTTTATTAAAATCGGAGGCCTATTTTTGTACAATGTGCAAGAGACTTCATGAGAAAAGTCGTAAAAGAATCATAGTTTTAAAAGATTCGCTTTCAAAAAAACTGTTTCAGTGTATGAACTAATAGTGATGTTGGTGATACGACTGAACAGGCGTGCTGGCGAATCAATTCGGCTATTCGTATCATTTTTTCTTTCTGTTTGTGTTTTTGATTTTGTTTTTTCGCCGTTCTTTTTCTGCCCTGCTTCATTAGTAGTCTTTCTCGTTGGATGTGAGCGGGAAGAAGGGTTGAAAAAAGAAGCCTCCAACAGTATGGTAGATACAAGATACATGTGTTAGTCATTTATTTTCTGTCTCTCGTCATATGCTTGCTACGCAGCTATATAGTTTCTCTTAAATGATTTTATTCGTTGAACCATTATTCGGCGATGTCATTCGTAGGTGTGCGTTTGTATAGGTAAAATTGTTAGTGACGTGCAATTGAGAATAGAATATCACGCGTCCTACCTTTGAACTATAAACTATAGTCGTTCTACACTTCTCGGGAGTCGGTGTGGGTGCATGTGTATGGGTGTGAATGTCGGAGTGAGAGAGTATGAGTGTGCGTACGTGTGAATATTAGTGTTGTTGTCCACTTGACTTTAATATCCATACCCACACCCTCAAGTCTGCTTAGCATTTTAATATTTTCACTTAGCACATAAATTGTAACCAATAAAAAATAGTACTTATGTTTTTTAAACTTTATTTTCTACTATTTGACTTTAAAAAGTGAAATATTTAGGGAATTACTGGGTGTGGGTGCTGGGTGTGCGTGTGGGGTGTGAGTGTGGGCGTGGGGTGTGGGTGGGTGTGGGATGTGGGTGTGGATGTGAGTGTGGGTGTGAGTGTGGGTGTGAGTGTGAGTATATCTATTCTCAACACCCACACTCGCACCCATACTCACACACCCACTCACACCCACCCCCACACCCACATCCTCATGGTTTCAATATAACGCTATTCGATAGAAGAAATCGATATTTGAGCTGAATGTTTTGATGTTTTATAACGACGGAGATGTTCCAAAATGTAGTCTATGTGTAATTTAAATCGTTAGATAAATGATATTGAGATAGCTGGATCTATATCAAGTATCGCTAATTGCTCCTCAATCAAGCTCGAATTATTTTATACTTTGTCTTCTTTTGAAATCTCATTTTATATGAGGACAATGTTGCGCCTTCATCTGAAAAAGAAACACGGGATACATAAAAGCTTTGAGTTTTATCATTCCCTCCAAGTTCATATACTGTTTTCTTGTTAAAAGTCAGAAAAAGAGACCAGGAAAATAAACTTTTAAGACGGTGGTTTTTATTGAGTCGCCGTTGCTAGACCTTGTAATCCGACAAGCGTGTTAATAAAGCGGCGTCTCGCTAGAAAAAGGAGAAAGGTATTCATTCAAGCAAGAAGGGCTGAGTGTGGGTGTGGGTGTGGGTCTGGGTGCGGGGTGTGGATGTGGGTGCGTATATCTTCTCTTTATATACAAGTAACGCTCGTCTACGTGACTCGCTTGACCCTCGACTGAATATTCAGCTGTTTCAGTATTGTGCACTGCTTCGCAGTCCTCAACACAGCTGGTATCGAAAGTTTGAAAAGGGCGCACATGAATGCGAATATTGACATCCCCATCAATGTCCTTGTGTACAATGACATGCGTGTGTCTATGATATGTTTTCTTATAAATTCATCCAACGAAACTGAGACCCCTACCATGGTATCCAACGGAAATCTAAATGAATAACACTAAGGCAACAGTACTCATCCCATGTAAAAAAATACGGAAAAAATCAGATTAAAATCGATGACAATTTGATTAGAAATTGATTATAATCATACCTCTTTAATCGATGACGAATCGATTAGGAAATCAACTCGTCATCGATTAAAAACCGATTATAATTAGCCATATCCGATTATAACAGCAGAAACAGTTATTCTCAAGGGGGAAAAAGCTGATTTAAATCACTCCAAAATCAAATTTAAATCATATAAATCACTTTTAAATCAATTAAATCAAATAAATCACTTTTAAGTCGAATAAATCAAATAAACCACTTTTGAGTCAAATAAATCAAATAAATCACCTTTAAATCAGATAAATCATCTGAATCACTTTTGAAAATATTTCAACCAATGACGAAAACTGTGTGAAATTAATTCATTCTGTATTGTATCGTAGAAACAATTGTTTCGTTTCGAATTTATGACCAACATGTGCTCTCTAGAGCTATAGAATACTTTCATATATAATTTCGTTTTGTTCATGTATTTAGAATCGATCGAATGGGACGGAAAGAGAAAGAATCTCCCTCGATTTGTTCTATTACTATAAAACAGAGATATAGAGAAGGAAAGAAAAATATTTTCTTTCTCTTAGCTCGTTGTCGTATATTCATTTCCATCCTAATTTTCGTTTAATTCGGTCGTCTCTTATTTGTCTGAAAGTTCGAATAATAATGTAATCAGTATTAAAGAGCCAAAGATGATACTATAGCAAACAATAGAGATTTATATTTTATTGTTCAATCTTCTCAGTTTCAATTATTATGACATTTTACAGATTAAATCTATTCACTAAATATTGAACTTATAGAATATCTTGTCGAAAAAAATATTGTATTTATTTAATTTTATCGTGTTTAGATTTCCAATTACTATCGTCATATAGAATGTGGAAATTGTTCAGTCATGCAGAAGAAATTGAATGCTGATCAAGAAAAAGATGATGATGAAAGTAATGGCGACAACAACACAAACTCAAATACTTCTTCAGTCACGCCTAAATCACCATTAAACGATACAAATCAAAACAAAATTTCTTCCAAGAAAAGACGTTTATCTATATCTACACCTGCAACTCGTCGACGCACAAAACGTCGACGATTATAAATATAATTCATATCATAGACAGTTGCTTTATCTGATTTCTGTTTCATAAATAGAATTATTTTTCGACATTTCCCGATTTTCCTATCTTATACTTATTTATTGACGTATTTTATCGACCTCTTGATTTTTTAATTGCTCATTTATGTTTTATATTCTTGGGTGAACTTAATTTATTTGTTGATATTGTATTTTTTTGTTCAATTATTAAATATCTCAGAAGTTTATCTGAATCCTTTTTGTTACAACTATATTTTAGCAGGAAATTATTACAAATTGAAAGGAAAAAATTGTCCTCTATCAATTAATCTCAATGTCAGATTGAGTAATATATCAATAATCTTCTTTATCTGTTAGAAACATATTGTTGTAGTCTCAATGAAAACAATATATGCACTGTTTAATAATATAAAAAATCGAAAAATGAATTGCATACGAAGACGGTTCTCTTTTATCAATGATTAACAGAGTTAAAAAATAACAGATTCTCAACGTCATATTGTTATGATCCGATCCCTAGATCAGATCATAATGCTGTCCTGGATGTATTAGGTTGTAATATCTTCTCGAGGTACGATCTCGGTGATAACACTTAGATCTAAC